TTAATTGCAGGCTTCTCTAATGAAAACAGACAAATACCTTGAAAAATTAGGAATATCATGAATTTTCAACATCAGATGTGTTTGGTTTGACATGAATTTGATTTGAAAAGATGTGTTTGTCAAGAAGATTGGATTGACATGAAGATTTGTTTGTCAAGAATAATAATGGGATCCAAATGACATTATTCAGTTTTATATATTTTGTTATTTAGCATTGACAATTTTAATAGGAACTAAAAGGGAAATAAATTTCAAATGTACACTCAGTATTATTTCATTACGAATCTGCTAAAATGTGGCTTCATATATAGTATAGTTCATGGACCTTTAAGGAGGGAATAACGAAAGAATAAGTCCATAAACTACTTTTTTTAAGCCATAATTCAACAGATTGATGTTATATCATACAAAGTTTATTAGTAGTCTAATACTTCGATTCTACAAATAAATTACAAATTCGATTTGAAGTGAAAATTAAGTAAATTTTTGTATTCATCCCTTGAAAAATTAGAAACCCCTAAGAGAAGCGGCCTGCATCCATTCATCCATTATTAATAGGGGTGGCAATGGGGCGGGGGACACCTCCCCAACCCCCACCCCATTGCATTTTAATTCCCCCCGCCCCAGCCCCCGGCTTCCCCTGCTCCGCTTCCTCTGCGAGGGCACCCGTGGGGTTAAAAAATTTTAATATAATTAAATTTGAGCAAATAATCAAATACTAAAATATCAACATATTACTAAATTATTATTCATTGTAACTTTACAATTGAAACTCATAAAAATAATTAAACAAAGGTTATTTGAATACAATCTAATATGATAAAATAAATATAACTAAAATAATCAAGTTTTCACTTTTGATACAAATACAATCACTAAATTAATATTGTGTTTTTTTAGAAAAAAGTATTATTGTATTAAGTGTAGTTAGGAATTTAACATAAATGTATTAATAAATTTAGTATAAATAATTAATAATTTTTATTAATAGACATGTATAATTAGTAGTATAATTGATAATATCATTATATATATAATTATGTACATATATATTTTTTCAAACGGGTGGCGGGGCAGGGGGTGGGTACTCCCCCGCCCCCGCCCCAATGACCCCCCACGGGGCGGGTGCCCGCCCCCGTTGCCATCCCTAATTATTAATGTGTTGAAGCCATATTTTTCTAAAAAATAAAAGGAAAATATCCAAATATCCAAAAGGGAAATATCCCAATATACTATTTTTTATTATTTGTACTTCCACCATTTGTTTTATCATATAGTATAATGAATGAAAACTATATCATTAAAATGATTGAGGGAGTGTGAATAACAAAAATGGGAGTGTAAATAACATTTCCAAAAGAAAAAAAGTACAAAAGTGTTGAAACCATGTTAATAAGTTTTCAAAGGGGTGTGGTGCTGGATATGGCACTAAGCCCAATCTGACCGACTTAGTTTGAACTTGGGCTGTTTTGAAATCAAAAGCAATGCCTGATGAGTCAAGCACGATGGCCATCATGAAGAGTAGATGGAATACAATATTGGCCCAAACCTAAAGCTTTTTTCCATAGGCCTTTTGGTCGATTGTCCTTTTCACAAAAAAAAAAAAAAAAAAAAAAAAATTGGAGAAGAATGAGATTTAAGCAATTGGAATGCAAATGACAAGGGAAAATTGAATCCAAAATTTTTATTGCTGGTTGATCACCCACATGTAGAAGAAAATAAATGTTTTTTTTAGGAAAAGGAAAAGAAATAAAATACGATTCAAGATTGCAATTGATTCATGCTAGAATGCTTTGGAACAATTAACCCTATACATGCGAGAGAATTAGAGGTTATTGAAAATGTCAAGTTACTACGGCACATCTTTCTACAAAAAATTTCTAAAAATAGTAATCCAAACGGATACAAAATAGTAATCCATCCTGCCTAATCAAAAAATTTATTATCATTTCACAGCAGGCTGCGTTTTTTTAGCGAAAATGACAGACTAATTGGTAGAAGACAGTTTCATCTACGACAAGTTGAAAGAAGAACGGATAATCTTACTGACGAATGGAGAAGGATCGCGCTTCAAGGATTTTTCTTATCCTTTAATAATCGTATTCTGCATATTTTTGTTGCAAACATTGCAGTGTATTCAGGGTTGCAAACAAGTCGAATTGAGTCGAGTTTTAGCCTAATCAAACCGAATCTTGATTTAGTTTTATCGAGCTCGAACTCGATTTCTTGATAAAACTAAGTCTCGAGTTCGATTTTGATAAAACTAAGTTAAGATTCAGCTCGATTAGGCCAAAACTCGACTCGACTCGGCTTGTTTGCAGCCCTCTCGATGGGTTGATAATCTCGAGTTCGATTTCGATAAAATTAAGTTAAGATTCGGCTCGATTAGATCAAAATTCGACTTGACTTGGCACATTTGCAGCCCTCTCGATGAGTTGACAATTTTGAAATTCGAGCTCGAATTTGAGTTCAAAAAAATAAAAATAGTTATTTTATTTTTTAAAAAGTAAATAAAAAATATTTTTTTCTTAATAAATAATAAAATATTAAAGATATACATGTAATTTTACCATTAATATATATATATATATATATATTCGAGTTTGCGAGCTGACGAGCTTAATATTTTGAGCTCGAGTTTGACTCGACCAACTCAAGATCGACTCACAACGCCACCAGTACTGCTGCACAGCCTCCTTCTTTGAGTGATAGGTCTCACAGGAGTCTCAGAATCAGCATGCTTCTTCGTACTTCGACTAGCCATTTTTCGGCACAACCACAAGCGGATGCTATGGTAATCAATTACTTATACTCCCTTCATCCCACTTTGATAGTTTTGATTTTTTTTTTTCACACAGTTTAAGAAAAAATAGTTAACTTTGTTGGAACAATCAATTTAGGTAGTTATTCTCGTAAAATACCCTCACATTAATTAGAGTACAACTTTATGGGAACTTGAATTGATGGTAAAAAAAGAATAAACTCTCATTAAATGGAGTAGGTTTATAGTAACAACAACTTACATTGAATAAGGGTATTTTAGGAAAATTAAAATACAACTATATTTTTAAATTGAAAAATGGACTATAATTTGAGACAGACGAAAAAGGAAAACATGACTATCAAAGTGGAACGGATGAGTATCAAATTCTTTAACTGTTTCACCTTTTATGTCAATCATTAATAGTTTCTTTCCCCTCTTCGACGGTAGATTTACTCTTCTTCAATAGTTTCGATTCATTTGCAGCCATAAGTGTAATTGTTATATTAGCCAATTTGGATTTTGCAACTTAGTAATTGAATTACAAGAAGTCCACAAACTTAAAAAGTCCTGGTCATGCTGGATCATTACGTTTTTACTGGCTCGATTATGTACGTCATGCACGTAACGTCATTTGACAGCCAAGGGTCAACAAATCTCGCTGGCTGATTGATGGAGAAAGTCTTACATGAAACTGATCAACTTCTTCCTGCTCTTTAAGTACATACACATGTCTTCTTGCACCAAAATTAAATTGAACCAATAGCACATTTTTCGCAACCTGGAATTTGAGGTCACTTCGGATCTCCTCCTTTGTTGCTTCGCTGCTTCTGCTATGAAGGTAGGTAGCATATATGTAGCACCTAAATTAGATTTTTCTAATGCATTAATACGTATACCCCAAATATATATATATTAGATGATACATCAAATTTTCTTGGCTCAGATTTTTCTTTTCTTGACACAGAAAACTGAAGTGAAAGTGAACATTAACTGCCACAAATGTAAGAGTGAAGTGCTGAAAGCAGTTACCAAGCTTCAAGGTTTTGACCCTTTTCTTTCTTTAATTTAATAACCTGCTTTCCTGTGTTTTCAAGATTTTGACTCCAATGCCTAGACAGATTACTTAGAGATGTAAAGAGTGAAATGGGAAATGGTTCTGCAGCATAAATTCTTGTCAGTTTCTTGAATGGTTCAAGAATATATATATCTTTTTGCTTATGGATGTGCAGGTATTGATCAGGTGACAGCGGATGCGGCCAAGGGGATATTAACCGTTGTTGGTGAAGTTGATCCAGTGTGTGTAATTACTCGAGTGAGGAAGACAGGAAAAGACGCAGAAATTATAAGTGTTGGACCTCCCAAAAAACCTGATCCCCCTAAGCCTGAAAAGCCAGATAATGATCCACCAAAGCCTCTTCCCCTTTCTTGTCCACAATGCCAATATGTTGTTGTCAGCTATGCTCCCGATGATGGCAGAATTTGCTCCATTCTTTAACAACTGAATTCGACTTAGGCTTCTCTTAGTCTTTGTAATCTTTAACTCTTACCTCTCATGACAACTCTAGCTAAGGTGTGGGACACGAGTCCAAGTGCTCGTGCCCTGTTACCATTTTCATGTCCACTTTTTACACCATAAATGATATCCCCCTTCTTTTTCTCGGTTGATTTCTTTCAAGTATTCATGTAAGATTTTGCATACGTAGATTGTGTAACTTTGACATCTATTTGCAATAAATATAGGGAACTACCCCTGATTATGAACATGTCTGTTTTTTTTTTTTTTTTTTTTTTTTGAGTTTCCTCAAAAACGTTATCCGTTCTAAAATCAGATGCTTTATCCGTTCTAAGATGATTCCAACCGTTTGTAACTCAAAGTCATCAAACCGTCAAGGGCTCCAAAGCTTGTTGGATTGCTTGAATAGACAGGGACAATGGGACGACCTCCTCTCTCTTGAAAAGAATTTCGATTCGTACATGTATTTGAGGCCACAACGAAGTATAGCCACTAGTCACGACTCTGCAAATCTGCTTCGTTTACCATTTCTCTTCATCTCTATTTCCAAGAAATTCCCAGCCACATGAAAAAGGACATGATCAATACCATTCTGCAATACTTAATCTCCCACAATTAGAATGAAAAAAAAAAAAAAGAATGAAAAGAAGAAGAAAAAAAAGAACTGCATTCAAGAGTTGAAAGCATATATGATAAGAAACTGGGACCTAGAGTAATGCTAAATGAATATGAAGAAGATACTAATAGACGAGCTGCACAAGTTTGATTACAACCATCTACGCATCATGATATTTTACTAGACAGCTAGAGGATGCAACCAGGACGAGCAAGGTCTGATTTACTCTCATATCTGGAGTCATAGTTCCCTAGAAATGTTGAAACTTGAATTTCCACTCTCCTTGCTGTGGATCGTAAGAAACCATCTCAGCACCTAGCTCGGCTGCCTTCTGTCTGAGCATCTCCTTGTATTTCTCAACCATCGGTCCATCTATGTATGCTTTCCTGCTGTTCTTGTCAATGCATCTGACGTTGAAGAGAGTTATCTCAGCTGGTCTATTAAGGCCTTGACCAATTGGTGGTTTCTTGCTCTCATCCATGTACACAATCACCTCTCCATGGTTAAACTGAATAAAAGACTCCAGGTCAAGTTCCCTCACATCTGTTTCCCCCAAAAACTTGATGCTGCCGTAGCCCTGTCTTCCAAAAACAAAGTCCTTGACACGAGCACAGAATCCTGGTTCAGCCCTTTCCCTTGCTGCTAATTCTTTGATTGGCGGTTTGGTATAACAGTCAGCACTATGGATCTTTGGCATGATAGCTGCAATATTAGGGTTCTGTCCAGCATTGCCTGCTACTTCTCCCTCTTCACCGTCTGCAACTTCTCCATCTTCATCTTCTTTTACTATAATATGAAAGCATCTTGCTGGAATGGGATTGTGATTGTAAATTACCCCATTAGTGCTCAAGTTGGATCCCACATAACGATTCTCGACAACTTCATCATTGCTTGTTTGATCTGATAATCCTATGAAACAAAGAGCGAAAGGATTTAGGAATGGAAGGCAATTAATTAAATCATCAGCCTGGAGAAGGAAATTAGATATACAAAAATCTGCTTTGGCATGTCCCTCTTTTTACTTCCAAATGCAACCATTAACCGGTAGTACATAATGTAATACAAAATTTTTTCAATAAGTTCTCAGTTCATTGTGCTGACTGACATTGCCAGATAACTCATATTATACATACTATAATGTGAAAAGTTATTATACAAGGTAGATAAACTGATATATTTTGTTTCGAGGATTAACAATTTGAAGAACCTATCTTCTCTAGTAGCAGAGTCATGCACTCTGCATGTTCTAGTATCATGTACACTTGGAATAAAAGAGAGCAATATTCAATGCATACCACTCTCATTCATATTATTGGATGGACCCTGCTGTCCTGATGATTCTTTTGCTTTATCATTCCATGGAGAGTCTTTAGTGGAATTAAAAACCTGAGGCCCAGGATTTTCCTTTGAAATCAACACATTATCCACCTTGAAAGTTGCTACCTTTTCTTCATTACAGAACACCTTAACCTGCAAGAAAGGGCTGTTAAATATTGAACATTCTTTACCACGGATGGCACATGGATTGGTAAATTAATCTATACTTTCTTCCTCCTAGGAAGACAAAAATTGATGGAAATTAGTGCAGAAGTGTTGGCAGGATGCCAGGAGCAAAGGAGAGTTCTAAGTTCAGGTTCTCCAAATTGTATCCTCACGATAAATTGCTATTTTCACCGTTCAACAATAATTTTGGAACTGTAATCTTTATATTATATCCGATTATGAGTAAGAGAAGAATGTTGACTTCCCATCAATATAGATCCTCTGGCTGAAGTGGATTTTTCAGATACATGCAAGAGAAAAGTCTTCAAAAACTCCATTGAAGAAGCATTCCTATTGACCTCATGCATTCCCTCTCATCAAATCTGGGGGTAAACAAAGCAGTAGCCTTCTGAAAATCTCATGCATTGACACTCGCCTAAACATGCAGGGTCTTGGCCTTTTCACTACAGTCAGCAAAGCTCAAGACAGCTTGAATTAAGATTGCAGCAGAACTTCAGCATTATGTTCTAAACTAACAATACCTATTTACAAATTTTTCCTGTAAGGACACTAGATTAAATGGTCTCAGTTCACAACAATCTTCCTTAATCCAAGTACTTAAGGATATCTAGCCTTCTAAACGTAACATAACAAAATAGTTCACAAGTATAACCTGGAAATCCAAATTGACATTCAAAACACTTGCGAGAATGCTAAAAGTCTAGAATAAATTAACATAATTCTGAATACTAAGAAAGTTTTACAAGTCAATACGGTTGTCAGGAGTTTCTTTCCACAGTTTTACATTTAAAAATTGGCTAGTTGCACCTCATCGTGTTGAAATTCATCTTGTACAAAAAATGAATTATGTTAAAGATGTTTTTTCTTTCGATTTTTTTTTCAAATAAGTTGCAAAAGTAGATGTGCTTATTGTTTCCCTTAGGTGGATCATCCACACAGAAAATGTTATGTTCCAAAAATGAATTATGTTAATGATGTTTTTTCTTTCGATTTTTTTTTTTCAAATAAGTTGCAAAAGTACATGTGCTTATTGTTTCCCTTAGGTGAATCATCCGCACAAAAAAAAAAACATTCACAGAGAATATAACCATCATGAAATACCCATGCTCCCTAGATTTGCTATCAGATTTTGAGACTTACATGTATGCCAGGATTCCCAAGTTGGACTGATAGTGTACAGCCAGGGTCATCAACTAAAATCTGCAGTTCAGGCTGTGACCTAAAAGAGTTTGAGCCGCTGGACTGAACGACTTCAGCAGCCAGAGAGGCTGTCCTGAAGAAACAGTATTAGCAATTAAACCCATCAATACAAAACAAGCTAACGCATAGGAGAGCATTCCGTAAGTAAAAGCTCAGACAGCTTCCTGAACAAAGCACAAAACAAGGGAATATAATAAAACAAAACATATTCTTACACCTGTGTACATGTATGAGAAAGAGAGGGAGAGGGAGGGAGGGAGGGAGAGAGAGGGATGTGAAACTTCCTGCCAATGTAAAATTGAAAAGGACTCATCCAGAATTTTCAGCAGTCCATGCATCTCAATGAGTTGATCATAGGCATTTTGATGGAAAGTTATCTATCAAGGTTTGAGAAAACATTCGGCAAAAAAAAAAAAAATAATCACCTGCACTTATGTAGCCAAAGATCTTTCACATAAACAGTTTATCAAAAAGTTGAATTACGACAGGGAAGGTCTGCTCATATGGAAAATTTTCACATAAAATGGATAAAAGAAAACAAAAGAAAGATGGTCAGTTAAATTGAGAGTTTTTAGGATGCACATACTGTAGCCCATTGATAACCTGACCACCTGCTTGGGTTGCCACTCTAGAGTCATTTGTTCCTTTGGAAGAGCAGAGAAGTCAAATGTTAGTTAAATGAAGATACAGAAGCAACTGACAAATTTTTACACATAGTTTGATACAGAAGTAAAAGGCAAGAACCCCCAGCTTAGAAGAGATGCACATGTATATCTTCAATTTTAGTAGTGATATGAAATTATGCTAAGCTTGAAAGAGTCATTTTATGATTCAACTGTTACTAATGCGAAGCATAGGTTATACTTACCAGAATGTAAATTCTGAGTCCGAAATGGAGTCTTCCCAGGCAAGTTGCTCCCACCAAAGCTTGATGCTAACTGGCCAAATGATGGTTTCTGGCTAGGGCCACAGGATCTGGTGTTTGATGGACGGACGTTTCTGGTGCCTGATGCTCCAAATGCAGGAGCACTTGAATATCCAGGTCCTATGTTGCTTGAAGCAGGATTCTCATGCACAGAACCAAATGATGATACCTGGCCAAAGCCAGTGGTAGTGCTGTTTGACAAACCAAAGCTGATGGTGCCTAATGCTCCAAATTGAGAGCCTGAGTTCCCGAGAATCGACTTTACATTCCGAGAGCCAAAAGGTGATCTACTACTAGACACACTCGCAGAAGAGCCAATGGATGCTGATTCACGGGTACCAAACCAAAATCCAAAAGCAGGTTGATCTGACGAGCTAAAAGTGACAAGGAGGGGAGCAACTTGTGTCTGTTGACATGGTTCCTGAGGGTTCTGATTAGAGGCAAAATATCCTACAAGAACATAGAAAAAGAAACCAACCGAAATTCTAAATAAAGCAGCGCAGATATAGATTATTATATATCTATACTCTACAAATTCAACTAGGTAGAACTACATATCACATCCTTGGTCACAAGTTGCATCATTGCAACGACTTCTAAGTTTAGAATAAGAAATAACAGGAAAGGAAAGACAATGAAGCTACTGCGAATCCCTATCTTAGAAGTGATAACTGTAAATAGTAAAAATGAAAATCCAACATCAAAAAACAACAATCTGCAATCACAATGCCTGTCCAAATATATAAAACATCATATGAAGCAAAGGGATTTTTATAACCTCCTGGGCTATTGAGGGAAGATGTACTACTGCTTGAGTTGTTAATTTGGCCATAAACCAACGAAGACCCTGAAGACGAAGGGCAGTTCATTTGCCCATGGACCGATGAAGACCCTGAACCTGAAGGGCTGCTGCTGCTGCTGCCTGACTGACCAAATACTGTTCAGAGGAGACTATCAGTTGGCGGTAATGTTCATTCCAGGAGATCTTGATGTTTATAGTATTACCAAGAAAAAAAGAATAGGCTGTGATCATGAGGCCCACTAATCGATAAACATCCAGAAACATGAGAAAGTACAAATATTTACAAGAAACCTCACCATGGATGCACCCCTGCATTCAGTAAAAGCGAATTTACACAAACATACAAAATGGGCTTCGGAAAAGGAAGGACTTACGGCTATTTTTGGAAGATTTGACCATCTTTGAAGATTTGATCAAACTGGCACAAAACAAGAGTGGCATGCAAATGCAAATGCAAATGCAAATGCGAAACCCACAAGCTTCACGTCGATCACTGTCTGAAGGGATTAAGGGGTTAAAACTTGAGAATGGGTGTTGAAAGTTGTGGGGTTCTGCAAAATGGGGTCTAAGAATACGAAGGCCGTCTGCAGAGTTTTGAGAAAGAGGAAAGACTGAAAAACTGAAGGCCGGGTGGCAATGGCAATAGCTTGAAATTGAAGCGGTTGCGGTTATTATTTTAAGTTTTAGTTTTGCTCATAGCCTGAGTGGGCGGCAATAGCTTGATTTATTGTTAGGAATAATTTCAGAAACCTCCTCTGAGGTTTCTAACTATTTTACTGACCTCCCTTTAGGTTTCAAAAATTATACTAATCTTTCCTAAAGTTAATTATCTTGTAATATTTAGATCCAATCAATAATTAAAAAGTAATATTGAAAGAGAGAAGATAATATGATTCTATCATTATCCCTCATCTACTACTTTATTTAATTAATTTAATGCCAATCCACATATAAAATAAAGCTACTAAATTTTCCTGTTTATTATTAAGGATGAAATCACATATAGTATCAAAAAATATTATATCATTTTATATTTTTCACTTAATACAAAATTCAAATTACTCTTTTCAATTATATATCCATTGCCAAACATGATCAATAACAAATAATAAAAAAAAATTACGGCCAAAATATTACAAAGAACAAATTTTAACATCATAAATATTTTTGTCAACATATTAAGGGTATTTGTTGAGATTTTTATGATATTAAAGTTTACTCTTTGTAATATTTTGGTCATAGATTTTTTGATTATTTGTTGTTGATCATATTTGACAATGAGTTTGTAGCTAAAAAGAGCAATTTAAATCTTCCATTAAATATATAGAATGAAATACTATTTTTGATGCTATATGCGATTTAATCTCTGGTGTATTTTCTTTAATATTTTGGGCAGGTATTAGATTAATTAAACAATTTATTAGATGAGGGGCAATAGTATAGTCGAATCATATTATTTTCTCTCTCATAATATCACTTTTAATTGGCTAATCTAGGAACCATCATATCACACGATTTAAGGGAAAAAAAAGAATGTTTTTTTTTATCTAGTTTAAAAGTACCATGTAATTCTTGCAATATATGGGTTCTTGAGGGGAGTTACAACTTTTCAAGGCAAATCAGACTCTTTTATTGGTTGTGTAGTGCGGCGGAAGAATCAAACAACGACTACTTCTGTTGCAAACACGAAACAGCGTAACAGGTCATACACTAAAGAGCCTATATATTATCCCCATCTAATTCTTCCGCCGTCAAGCAAAGCATGGAAAGCATTACAGTTGCTGATAAGATAGTTGTCACCGGCAAATCTTCTGGAGCTGAATTGTCAACAACTCCTACTGTTCCTGAAAGTTCGTCCATTCAAGTTGCACACCAAAGACCTAAACAGTAAACATCTTAATCTGTCTTCTCAGACATCCAAGGGGGTACCCTATGGAAAGGGAAGCTGCTTCTGATGGTGTTCCTAAATCTGTGCAAGCTAATGCATGCAACAGAATTCCCAAAATTGTCCCTTCCTCAAACAGCATTAATTCCCAAGAAATTTGCTCATACAATGATTACAGCGAAACGTCAGCATGCCTTCTTTCCAAGTCTCAGTATTATACGTCACACAACAATGAAGTGAGTTGAGGCCGCCCAACAAGTCTCGGAAAGGTTGTGTGATGTAATCACGTATGTGGAACGCAGTGTCGCGGAAAGGCATATCTTCCACGACTAAGCCAAAGGGATTTCTGAACCTTCTTAAAATTTTTAGTATCAACAATTCTTAATATCACTTTTTTTAATTGTTGATTGAATTTAGATGTTACTATAAGATAATAAATCTCAAGGAAGATTAATGTAATTTTTAAAACATGGAATTAAATATCCATCTCTATCCTCCCCCAAACAAAAATTAAATAAATAAAAAATCCATCTACAATAAGTTACTTGAATATATTCTTAAGTGACAAATTATTTTTTTTCTGTCCATTTTTCTTTAGGATTATTGTACATTTTAATGGACAATTGAACGCGACCACTAGCATGCATAGTCCAAAAAAAAAAAAAAAAAAAAAAAAGTGTCAAGCACATTATCCAAATAAAATTCTCCAAATTGACAAAGCAGAGAGTTGTACCGGAAATTAGCAACCAACAGGAACCATTTCACGTAGCTAACTCCTTGCTTTAATAGCAGAATTTGCCAAGCTTTTTATACATTATCATTTATCATCATTTGTCTAATTAATAAGAAGAGTCATCTCAGCTGGCTTATTAAGCCCTTGACCGATTGGTGGTTTCTTGCTGTCGTCCTTGTGCACAATCACCTCCTTATAGTTAAAGTGAATAAGAGATTCAAGGTCACGGTTATTTCAAAATTATGCATATAAAGGCGGAAATTTTTTGCATACTTGAGTCGAAATTTCCAAGGATTGGTAAAGATCAATATCAGCCGACTATGAACTGGTCGTTGTGCTTGAAGCTGATGGAATGATATATAGATGGAAAACAGCCATTGTTAAGCATTTTGCTTGCTAGCACACCTGATACATAAAATTAAGCTTCAAACCTACAAACAAAAATATTAAATAAAGCAGCAACATGCATGATGGGAGTAGTCAAGAACAGCTGATCATCAAAGCATTTGAGCTTCGGTTAGTTGCCAACCTCGGGGCTTTTCCACCTTTCTCTTCTTGAAGTAATGAAAGCTTCTGCTTTCCTATCAATTTCAGGATCAGCTTCCCCTCCACCTCCCTCTTCATCACCAGGCCGCGCTTTATAAGCCTTCTCGTCGTCATCCTTCATGCCCAGCTGAAGTTAACAAAGAGAAGAGATCAAAGCTTGAATACAAACAAATGGATTTTCACATTATTCGTTAAGTAATTTGCAGGTTGATAACAAGCTAGAGACCAAAACTAAAACCTACAAACAAAAATTATTAAATAAAGCAGCAACATGCATGATGGACTCATAACGCATGTAGTCAAGTACAGCTGATCATCAAAGCATACCCATCCACCTCTATCTTCACCACTAGGCCGCACTTCATGAAGCTTCTTGTAGTCATGCTCCCTCCTAGACTTGGTTTTGGACATGCTGAAAAAGGAAAAGGAAGAAGAGGAAGCTGAAGACTTCTTTTACTTGCTGCCTCCCACGGCTTCTTATCGTGAGATATATAGATTGTGGAATGAATCAAGGGACATTCCTCATCGATGGAAAAAGCAACAGCTGAGGTTTTGCATTCCATCCTTTAAGCTGTGTGTGCACTCACTAATATGGTTCAATTCTCCGCAACGTGGCACGAAATCCCAGACGCACGAAAATACCCAATTACCTTTGTCAACAAATCCCAATCACTGTTTGGATTGTAAGTTATTTGGAATTATTTGGGATATTTTTACTATAGCACTTTTTGTGATGTGATGTATGTGAGATAAAAAGATATTGGGAAGATAAAAAGGTGTATTGGAAATTGTAAAGATGATGTAAGCAAATAAAATTGGGAAAATATGAAGCAATCCAAACAAACCTGTTTGCAAGTGTTGGACCCTGAAATGCAAAACCTCATCTGTTGCTTTTTTTGGCCTATTCTGAAAGTTCCCAATTCTTCAGAATCCCAATCACCTTACTTAATATATACATTATATATATTATACATTTATATAAATGTACATTTATACATAATATATATATATTTATGTATATTTATAATATACATTTATATTATGTATTATATATAATATAATACATTTATACATAATATTAATTTATACATTTATATAATATTAATTTATAATTTATAAATTTATAAATACATTTATATTATGTATTATATATAATATAATATAATACATCTATAGTACATTTAATATAAAAGGAGGATAAAATTCCCGAACAATCATCTTTTAAGCTGCTTAGTGCTCTTTAGCCTCTTTTTAGAATCCTTGGGGATGATAATTGTTTCATAAAAGCAGAAAGTACACATATGGCTATAAATCTTTCTACAAAACGTATATAGAGGGAGAAGATATTTTGACACGTATAATATTCTATAAAAAAAATATGCAGAAGAAAAATTCGATAATTTCAAGCAAAGTTTTGCATCTTTTCCACTGGAGAATTGCCCATCAGATATTTAGCCATTCAATTCATACTACACATATGGCTTAATTTCTTGCTTCATGGAGGGATGAAAGAACGTGGAATTCTGGTAGCTGCATCTAAGTCTAACATATAAGATGCATACATACACGTATAAAAGAAAACTATGGCTAAGCTTCCTACTAGGAAAAGACTTGTAAGCAGAGTGAGTGAACGAGGGAAATTTGCCGGCATTGCACAATGGCCCCTTTTCAGCTTTTGTTTAATCTTTTGGAAGGACATAACTTCGTCAGCTAAAAATAGACAACTAAATGCAAAAATGGACTCATTTGAAGATAACTTCGTCTGCGATTTCGTCTGGAAAAATTAGTGGACTCATACGCGGACTTCATAAAACAAAAAGGAAGAGATGATAATTGTGGACGGCAAGATAATTAGGCAATTCTGATCCCAAAAAAAAAAACAAAATGGAAGAGCTATAATATATACTAGCTCCAATGAATGGAATCCCGATTGACATCGTGGTACCGGACAAATATTGGGAATTGCTGGGGGTCTAGGTTCAATGACGGACGGACAAGATAGAACCCCGGCAGGCAGGGAAGGGAAGAGGACAACAAGATATCCCTAGTTGTTATGGATAGCAATTATTAGTGCGTAGTAGTCTTCTACGGTATCAAACCATCAATACATTCTCTGAGCATTTGGATTAGGTGATGAAAAGTGAAATTCCACCTTGTTCGGATTGCTATTTTCTAGAGTTTTTATAGAAAAATGTATTATAATGATTTAATAGATATGAAATACAAGAGATTACTAAGAAATGTATTTGCAAAAACATAAAAGTTTTTTGAAGAAAAATTGCAATCAAAACAAGGCCTAGTTCATGTATCCCCAAATCAAATTATGTTACTGTCTGTCCGATAAGTTCTAATGGGTACTGATTAGATTGGCAAGGGTTTGAAGAACAATACAAGTCCCTGTGCATTTATCCAGGAATCAATCCTGGATTCTGTGAAATAAATTAGTGCC